CCCCTTCAAATAAAGTGTTACCGACAATATTCACACACGTGTTTCTGGAGGAATGGTGTGTGTGAGGTCAGGAAGAAACACAGCTCTGTTCCTCCCAGCATGCACACAGGTCTGAACTCATCCACCTGCACCTTTCTGTCTCCAAGGTAACCAATCAGCTGACAGCAATCAGCCCAAAGGGTTAATGAGTAACATTAACCATGGTGACTCAGATGCCTCTGGGGTTTCCGTAGCAACTACAGCCCAAGTATGTGTCATCTACAAGCACCAGGGATATCAGTCATCCCAGATTCTATTAGGCCAAAGAGCAGTTGCTGCTCCTCTTCTCACGTGTGTGTGTGTGTGTGTCTGTAGGTGTGTGTGTGTGTGTCTGTAGGTGTGTGTGGGTGTGTCTGTATGTGTGTGTGTGTGTGTGTGTGTCTTTGCGTGTATGCAAGTATGTGTGTGCATCAGAGAGAAGGAGTGAAACATTGTTTTTGCATAAGTTAAAAAACTACTGGCATGTGTTTGTGTTTTAGTGAATAGATCCAGTTTGAGGATGGGTCTGCAATCTGACTTCCTGACTTTGTGTTTCTCTAATGTGAGTCTTTGTTGTTATTTCATGGTGTTAACTTATTGATCATACTGTTTCTGATTGCTTATTGAGAAGTGTGTGTGTGTGTGTGTGTGTGTGTGTGTGTGTGTGTGTGTGTGTGTGTGTGTGTGAGAGAGACATGTGTGAGTGTGTGTTCAATACCATTCTCTGTTATTTTTTTTTTAAATGCTGACAATAGCTGAAGCTTTACCTGTGGTACAACACTGCCCCCTGCAGAAGAAAGTTACATTTCTTCTTACATTGATCAATAAAGAAGGAAAATGAATTCCAGGTTTGTTATGGAAGCATTAGTGTCATTTTAAGAGTTTAATGCAACTTAGATTAGATTGCCAATAATGACATTATCCACTAATAATTTATATTTATCAAAATCTGTTGAGCATTTAGGCTCACAAATAAAACTATAATGTTGAATAATTAAATAATTGCAAGTTACCAACACACACACACCCAGGCACACAGTAAATCATTACCATGTAGAGTTTCTCAGATTTTTAATCTGAATGATGTTGTCAGAGATTTGTAATCTGAATATTGGTTAATATTTTTCTATAAACCATATTTGCTACAGTTACATCTTTAAGTATTTTGGGGGCAAATTTCTGCTTCTCTACTCAACTTGCAAATGCTTTGCAGCATCTAACTGTTTTTTCTCCAGGTCTATCAAATATTTAGCCTTTAAAGAATTAGTCTTTTCTTGTTCCCTCTAAATGCTAAGTCCTGCTCTGCAAGAGCTCCTTCCAAATCACCAGTTCATGTGAACGGTGGCGTGTCGATCTGCGCCAAGTTACAAAAATTCAGAGGTCCAACGTAAACCTTCATGCTGCGACAATGTGCAGGACGGGGTCAGCCTGGTTCAACATGTAGAAAATAATTTGGGGAGCAAGTCTGTGGAGAATTTATTTGTTATAAACTTTTCCTAAATATCTGTGTAGAGATAAAGTGAACTTCCCTATTTATTTTTAAATGATAACCAGTATGATAGGTAGGAAGTTAGTTGGAAATGAACAGCTATTTTGGTTGGATTCTCGATCTTCATGATGATCTTGTTCTCTACGGTTTTCTAACTTTGCTACAAACAGGTGGACTCTGTTTCCTTATTAGATGATTTCCGAAGACAGTTGGCTGGTCTGAATTTTATTTAGGAGAATCAAAGTAAAGGGTCTTGAGTACAAATTCCTGCAGCATGTGGAAGGGTCAGTAAATCACTGCAGTTAGAAAGCCATTTGTAGCAGATAACAGAATCAAAGCCATTGGCTCATGATTGAAGATGATAGAACCTAAGTGAGAGATGAATACATTTGAAGAATATTTTCCCCTCCAGGTCTGTGGTGATGCTGGTGAGAACAGTAGAGCATGACACACAATAGTTACTGGCAGCATCTCCCTCTCTCTCTCTCTGTTCTTGTTTCAGGAGATGAAACAATGTGAATCAATAGTCAGTTCAGGGATCATCCCATTTAGCAAGATGACTGTTTAAGGTAGAAGTATTGATCTCTCCAAATGACTCTTGTCAAACATAAACAAAAAGGAGGGTATAAAGTGTCTCAATATACCTCTGTTTACCCAGTTTAGACAAGAATTAAATGATAAGTCAGATAAGAATTGAAATGTTGGACAAAGGTGGAGCTGCGTTGTTGCTGATGTAGTTGGTAGGAGGAGGAGTGGGGATAGTAGATCAGGTTAATCGTGATGCTGACAGAAGAGGTCTAATTAACACTGAAGTGAACTTGATGTTTTTGGTTAACCAAAAACACAGCAGTGTGACAGCTCTGTTCACACGCTGATGGTTTCCCTTCTGGTGGTTGGTGTTGAGAATAAATAATTCTGTGTTTCCCTTCTATCTCTGTTAGCTAGTTGCTAAGCTAATCCTAAAGGAAATTACATGTTAAATGCAAATGAGAGCTATGGTTAGAGGAGATGACACACTAGGGAACGCCCTCTTTAGGGCGTAGCTTAGATAGTGACTAACAAAGCAGATCACAAACTGTTCTAGGCTGCCATTTTGTCCTGCTAACTGGATGATTCTCTGAATTCGGTGCCTTTTGGGGTCTATGGTTACTTAAAAATATACCACAAAAAATTGTGTTTTTGAACACTGCATCTATTGAAGGACTTTTTGAACCTCCAAGAAAATATGTCTCCCCACCTTATGCATGAAATCTCAAACATTAATACGAATTTCTTTGCTGCTTAGGTTGCTTTAAATTCAACCCCGTAACGGGACAATTTGATTCCTCTATCATTATAACTGTGTAACATAATTAAACAAATTCTTCAAGTTCCTGTGAGATCGCCTGTCCTTTGATTAAAATAATTAATTGTAAGTACATTTTATTTGTTTCTGCATCATAATAATTAGACTGATAAGTAGAATATGGCAACTTTATGTAAAAGCGTTTCTCATAAATCATGAAAATACACTTAAAAATCAACATTAAATCAGACTTTTTTATGTTTTTGAATCATTCTTTAAACTTTGCATGAAGTCCAATAAATATTAGTCTAATATTTGCTGTTATTATAAAAAAATTACAACATTGTATCGCGTTACGGGGTTGAACCCATTGTAAAAGTAATGGGGTTGAACACTCTGGCTGGCTTAACAACAGTCCAACGTTCAACCCCGTAACAAAACCACCATTTTTATAACGGGGTTGAACATTATGGGGTTGAAGATTTTCACTAAAAGTTGCTATAAGTCCACATCTGCTAGGGTATGGAGCAACATATGATATGATGAAAATAAGAAATGAATATACTTTTCAAAGACCATTCTTTACTTTTTCCCAAACAACAATAAATATCATTTACGTGTGTAACAGGGTTGAAAGGTTGAGCTTGACGATGACGATATTTGGGTAACAAATAACCAGATATAGGTAAAAATCTTTCCTAACACTTAAATCTCTTTACAGTATGAGAAGGAAGAGACTTCAGTGATGTCACTTCCAGGGTGCTGAGGAAATTGGACTGAACCATTATTTATAAAAAGGAGGAATCAGTTTGCTGTTACGGGGTTGAACAAAACTTGAGGGACAGGATTAAAAAGTGCTATTTTATATATAATTCATGTATTTTTTTCATATTTCTTTTATTTAGGTTAAAGTATACCAATTTTTTTTTTATAATGGTACAACTAATTTGCAGTTATTGGCTATTTTTATTTGTTTTATGTTCATTGAAAAATGAACATTGGTCAGTGGGGACATGCTCATTTGGCTGACCTCTACACTTCAACAACCCATCAAATTTTTCAAAACATGATTTTTAAAATATATTTGCTTCTTACATTACCAAGACACATGGATATTTACATTTCTTGATTTCCTCAAAATATTTTGTTTGCATTATATGAAAATCTTTGAGATAAACCTGTAGGACACAAAAGGCACCGAATTCAGAGAATCACCAAGCTCTTAAAGGTGGCATGTCAGAATGGATCAGCTGTATTTTGGTATTAATAAATGGAATTCATGAAGTCAACTCACTGACTCTTCGTTAACCTCATACATCAAGAACTCAGCATGGAGAACGGATAATTCTCCACATTGGCCTGGTTGGAAGTTGACCTGTTTCTTTGACAGCTTTTATATTGTAGCCATTTCACTCCTTGTGTCTCTTTCTACTCAATTTCTGCATGTAGAAAATTGAGCTGCCTGGCTTGGGAAGTTTCACGTTAACATTGGACCAGTTCATACCTGCCAGGAGGATGTAACATACCGGATCTCACAAAAATGAGAAAACCCTTCAGATTGTTTGTAAATATTTTATCGTCTCTGTGTGGGACAACGCTGATGACATGTTTGATATGATGTAAAGTAGACACTGTACAGCCTGAATAACTGTAAATTTACTTTCACTTCAAAATAATTGAACACACAGCCAATAATGTCTCAACCATTGTGAGCAAAAGTTAGTACACCCCTGTTCCCTCCCTGTAACACTTGGTGTGTCTTACAGATTAACTTTTATGCAGCATCTACAAATAAGTCACTAACTGCAAGACATCCTTATGACAACAGAGGATCTTCGACGGGTTTCTTAAATGAGTTTTTCAAGCAGCAAACGCATGTATCTTTGGGTTTAATTTGTCAGCTTCAACACAGGTAATACACCTGGAGGAGAAAACCATGAAGTTTACCAAAACTAAATCTGAAACAAAATACTTTTAAACTAATTCTCTTAACAATTAATAGAAGAAAAAACGTTTTCAGCCATTTGTCTAAGTGAAGAAATAAAAACTAAAACTGTCAAAAGACGTTTTTCACTCTGAGATGTGGTGGATACAAATGTGTCAAATATGGCATTTCGTCTGTTTTACCCTTCCCTCGGATAATATTTAAAATGTCATCATTTGCATTCCAGTTCTTGCCAGAACAGTCTCTTATCCTCACAGATGGCGTCTCTGAACCCTCAGATTGTGGGAGCAGAAGACGTTGAGGTTCTGCTCCGGCCTGCAGCCGAAGGTCAGAGATGTTGAAATGGCCTGGTATTTCTTTTGGTTTCGTCTTTTTTCAGTTTGACGTCAGATCGAATTAATTTGTGAGCTAAACCTTTAAGTATTAGAAATCATTGTCTCAAACCAAACTTTTAATGTGAAGGTGGATTTTATTTAAAACCTCTTAGCTGTCATGATGACACCAGCGTCCTCAGGACCCATTGAGGTAGACGTAAGTGTTTTGGGGCTGACAGTTAAGACCGTCATATTTTTGATAGTCTAAGGATCTACAAATGTTTTCAGTCAGCTGGACTCTAGCTGTGTATATGTTATACATATGAGCAAAACTTTGTCAACATTCTGCTAATGTTGAAAAACCAGTTTCCATTAGATAAGAAACACAATTGAAATAACATGTGAATGAGCTTTTTCATGTAATAAAAACATGCTATTCCATTTTCCTCCTACTATGCTTCCTGTCTTCTTCATGGTTTGTGCCAGTGGCAATGTCCAGCTGTTGATCATGTGACTCGTGATGAAAAAGTGCTTCCATTGCAAACCAATTTCAAAAGGCCAAGAAACCTCATTCTATCTACAAAACGTTTTTTATCCAAAACAAGAGCTTTTTCTTCTTCTTTTTTTCAAACTTGTCATATTTCCATTAAGCAAATGTATATTTGAAATGTCAAATTGCACATTATATGGTCAATGGAAACACAGCTCTTTGCAGCATTTCCTCCTCCTGAACAAGAATTTAGTGGTGCACTGAATCAATAACTTTGTAGAAATTTCTCATTCTGAGCATGCATGTGGCAGAGGTGTAAAAGTAGACTCCCCCTTAATATGAAGAAACCACCAGCAGAACCTGAACCTGAACCTGAACCTGAACCTGGCTCAGTGTGAGCAGGTGTCTGTTGTGACTGACTGAGGGATTGAGAAAAAAGCCAACCAATTAAAAAAAAGGTAAAGGCTAATGGTAGCACTGGCTTCTGCAGTGGCTTCAGACAATAACTCAGCTCGACATAAGCTAACAATATATTTTACTGTTGTAAAATATATGAGATGAAAAGATGAGTACATGTAGTTCATATAGCTGCAGCTGTCATTAAAGCTTCATCTCAAAGTGTCCATGTACTATAAACATTATTATATTGACAAAGTATACTGTGTTAAAGAAAGGTAAAGGCTGATCTGGTAACTGAAGCGGATTTAGTGAAAAAATATCAAACATTCTTAAACTCCTGTCATAAACAGAGCCAGGAGGAGCTGCTGCTGCTTCTTCATTAAACATGGCAGGAGCTCAGGAGGATCTTTAAAGGAGAAGGAGCTTGAATGACCAAACTGAAAACAACTAACAGAAACCAGGGAGAGAATCAGGGAAACTATAGATAAAAGGGGAAAAAAATAAGCTAACATAAACAGGAAAACAGCAACCCAACTCTAATAACCAAATAATAATAATCAAGAAGTAAACATAAGGAGAAATGAACGACAGCTGGATCTGAGAAGAAAACCAAATGAGAAATGATCAAAACAGAAACACAAACTAACGACTCAAACACATGCATATCATAACGCTCGTATTATTATTGACCGATATATTTTTTATTCTAATGTTTGCTTTATTTACACACTACAGGCAGGCAGAATTAAAATGCTCTATTCAAGGTTTCACTTTGTGAGTTGAGTTACTGAAAAAATAAACTTTCCACTGAAATTCTTATTTATTGAATATGACTGTAAAATATTACAGAAAATGATTGAAAAATTCACTATTACTCTGACAAACAACACATGTTCTAATTGAATCTAATCGATTGAGTATGACAGCCCGCCACTCCAGCAGGCCTTGGTCTCCGAGGTCAAAGTCTGTTATACCCATACCCCATATTAAAATGATATTGGATCTTCTGAATATGATGCACAGAAACTTCCTTTGATGACAAAATAAAGAAAGCTAATTAAAAAGCTGGCAGAGGCCTGAAAGCAGTGGTGAGTAAATCATTATCTACAAACCAACTAACTGAACCAGGCTGGGCAAAAATGCTGTTTCTAAGATCAAACAGAAGGTGGTTGCTTTAAGATGCTGCAGATTAAAGTGTTTCTGCATGATACAAGAGCAAATAGTGGATTTATATTTCTGCAACATTAATGACATAGAGGTAGGATGTTGTTTGCTGCTGTTGATCAGTGATTATATTTAATGAACTGTAACACCTGGTGTTATTCAGATATTTAATTTTTCATCATTGTTTGATTTCTTTATGCTGGTATGTGAAACTTTGGAAATGAAGGTGTGTGTTCTTACCGCTGCAGCCAGCAGCCAATCATCAGGATTAGTTTTGTAGCTGTGGATTTTAAATGTTTTAATATGTTCATTTTGTTGCTAGGAAATTACATCTGTCACTTGACATCTCCCACTCTCTCAAACTAAGCAGCATAAGTGCATTAACTCAGGTAGCAGCAACATTTCCTGTCTAATAATGAAGATGGAGAACTTCTCTAATAACTGTTACAGTTGGAGACTGTAATTACAATATTTTTTTCCCTGCATATCATAGTAAGTTATTATCCAGGCATTATACTGAGATTGTGTAAATTCAATAAACACTGCATGTTCATGTTTCATTTTCATTTTTTACAATTTGTCTTCCCACTCCTCCTATGTTAGCTGCTGCTCTCTCTTTACACATTGCATCTCACATTCTTCTTCTTGAGGAACACACTAACTCCCTGCGCCCCTCCCTCTGAAATCACAATCATCTCCCCTTATCAGCAGCACTACACGTTTTCCACTTTTTCCTCCATGGCTCTGTTCTTTTCTCCCTGTCAGGCTCATCCTTGGCGGTACACCAGCCTCTCTTGTCAGGAGTATGGACTCACTTCTTTGGCTTCAGCGGCTGTATGGTAGCTGTGGTCGGGTTTTTGAAAATGTGCAGTTAAGTGTTGTTTGAATGGTAGACTGCAGATAGACAATCACATGACATTGTTTGAAGAATTCATTATGAGACTTTTACCACTGCAGAATGTAACCTTTAATAAAAGGTTTTTACATTTTTGTTAAAACTATCACTATGTAGTGACAGCATAAAACAAAACAGATAATCTGACTCCTACTGACATCTGCAGAGATGCATGACTCCCAGTCAGAAACATCCAATCAAAGCCAGGAGGAGGGTCTTAGTGCTGTCAATAAACCTTGTGTAGATGCTGTTCACACCCCATCCCCTTGCTGTCTGCTATGCTAGAGTTGGTTCACCAAAACAAATACTGTGAAAACTCAGGCTAATTAGCATAGCCACTGTTGATGGAGACTCAATGGTTTTCCTGGAACAAGTGTGATTGACAGCGCTTAGACCTTCCCCCGACAAAACACTGATCTAAATACTCACACCTCACTCCATCCTGTGATTACTTATGATGATTGCACAGAGAAACGTTGAGTCACATTTAAAGAACTTTCAGCCTCCAAGTCACTTAAACTGGCTCTTTTAAACACCAGATCTCTCTGTGCTAAAGCTCTATTAATTAATGATTTCATCACCGAGCATAATATTGATGTTTTATTTCTGACAGAAACATGGCTGAATGACAATAATGAAGCAATCATACTAATTGAATCAGCGCCTCCTACATACAATTTTTTAAGTGAGAATAGAAAACATAAAAAAGGAGGAGGCGTGGCTTCAATATTTAAGAATACCATAAACTGTAGTAAAATCTCATTGGGTAATTTCACCTCTTTTTGGGTATCTTGGAATTGAGGTAAAAGGCCACAAACGAACTTTGATACTAACTTTATACAAAACCCCAACATATGAGGAAAATTTCTTTATGGACTTCAATGAACTTCTATCTCTCATATGCATTGATTATGATTGTTCAATAATTGTCGGTGATTTCAACATTCATGTTGACAACCTGAAGACCGAGGGGCAAAAAGCTCTGTAATATATTAGAGAGTTTTGGTTTAACACAACATGTCAAACAAGCAACACACACTCATGGACACACACTCATGGACACACACTGGACCTGGTTATCAGTGAGGATGTGAATAGTTCCAATGTTTCTGTAACTGATGTCGCCTGTCGGATCACTTTGCTGTTATCTTTGAATGTTCTTTATCCGTTAACCCACTTGAACAAAAAGCTACTATCACAAAACTTACTTTCACAGAAAACACAGCAGAAACATTTCATCAAATCTACTCTTCTTCCTCGCCCTTAAGCTGTAATGACGTAGATAAGTTGGTAGATGATTTTCAGTGCAAACTTTCAGATATCATTGATTTTATTGCCCCCATTAAAGTGAAGGTTGTGTCTGGTAGGATTAAATCTCCATGGAGAAATGCACAAACAGTTCAATCTGCAAGACAACTCTGCCGAAGGGCTGAACGGAAATGGCGTAAAACTCATCTTCACCTTTATTATGACATCTATAAAGAAAGACGACATAACTATCATTCAACACTGAAACATGCAAGAGAGGCTTTCTTTGCAGATGTCATAAACAAAAACATTAACATGTTATCAACAATTAACATGTTATCAACAATAACTTTTTGAAGAACTTTGAATTAATATGAATTACAACAACATGTATTTTCAGGTTGGGATCAATGAAGTATTTTTGAATTTGAATATGAATTAATAATCAATTATTATTCAGCAGGGTCACAAAATCTGGCTAAATTAGTTAAATTTCTTCGTTAAATTGCACCATAAACTTGAGAAACAATGTTGGCTAAATAGAAAAAGAGTGAATAAAAAATACACCAATTATTCCCCTAATTTTTGACAAGACAATTATGTGATTTTTTGTTGTTGTTGTTGTTGTTGTGTTCAAATATAAAATCTGTTGAGAATTGGAGAGATATGATAGAAAAGTCACATAATAAACCAAATAAAATGATACACAAGAATAATTTATAAAGCAAAGTAATTCAATTAAAACACAACAGTTGGTGTTACT